CAGTTTGTACATGAAGCATACCTTTTTATGCAGATAGTTGTATTAGTTTTTTCAAAGAGTATCATTTATATATAAAATATATGAGTAACAAGGTTGAAATGGCCAAGGGAATGGAGACTTACTGTAAGGAAGTGAAGATCTGCACTGACATAGAGGTTTGGTGATTTCAATCCTTCATTCATGTGTTTGAAGAAGTATTTGCACCAGTTGTAGCTGGTGAAATGTTTCAGTTCTTCAGTCTTCAAGTACTCAAGCATGTTGAGTTTAGCCATAGGTGCTGAAGTTGGACACAGCAAGCCTCCGGTGACCAGCAGAAAGAACAATTGCATCCATCTCTTACTCTGTGTGGTTGTAGGAAGATCTTTTTCTACCTGACTTAGCTTTACCCTTGGAGTGGATGTTCCATCTACTTCGAGTAGGGTTTCTATTGCATAATCTGCTGCGTCATCCCAAGAAATCGTGGGAGGTACAACTTCCCTATTCCCCATCGGCAGACCATATACTCTATGAAAGTCGATTGGTGATATCTTGATGCGTGTCCCGTCAGGTAACTTGAACGATTCTTTCTTTGGATTGTATTTGTTCATTACGAAAAGTGCAAAATGGTTGTTTATCTTTGTCTGCTTGATTGATATTAAGCCTGCTAGGCCTAATATCTCAAGTTGCTCTTTCCGCTCATCTGTTATTGACCTTGCAATTGCAGATATTCTTGTTGGGCTGCACCTTGTGCGAAAACTGTGTCTTGGTTTTACCATAGTGTACCTGAATGTAGAAATTAGTAATAGTATGTTAGTATGCTTTTTACCATAATATACCATATGGTACCATAATGGTTTCCTACCATACCAAATCAAACCATATATTTATCTCATTTTACCATATGGTAATTACATCAAACCATGTCTTATAACATATTACCATATGGTAACGAAGTAAAACACAACAGGACGTATGTTTTCCTCCATTTTTATAGCATGAAACCATAGCTTACCACACATTACCATATGGTAATAAACTAAAACACAGCAGGACTTATGGTTTTTTTGCTATTTTACAACATGAAACCATAGCTTGCCACACATTACCATATGGTAACAAACTAAAACACAGCAGGACTTATGGTTTTTTGCTTTTTTACAACATGAAACCATAGCTTACCACACATTACCATATGGTAACAAACTAAAACACAGAAGGACTTATGGTTTTTTGCTATTTTACAACATGAAACCATAGATTACCACACATTACCATATGGTAACAAACTAAAACACAGAATAACTTATGGTTTTTTGCTATTTTACAACATGAAACTATAGCTTACTACACATTACCATATGGTAACAAACTAAAACACAGAAGGAGTTACGGTTTCTTGCCTTTTTATAACGTGCAATCATAGCTTACCACGCCATACCATGTGGTAACGAAGCAAAACACAACAGATTCTACACCAGTTCAGCAATGCATGCTAACGATTCGGTAATGTAGCGAGTTATACTACAATTTTCACATGAAGAGTGACTGAAATACTGTTTCTATTGTTCTATGGATGGATTTCGAAGAAAGAAGTGAGGTTTTACCTTGATATTTTGTGCGAAAACGATTTTTGAGCCTCGTTGAAGTTGGAAACCCTTCGTTTTTCGACGAAGAAGCGAGAACAGTGTATCGTTGAATGATTCTTCGAAAAGCTTTGCGAAAATAGTTCGATTTGAAGTTTTTTCTGGAAGTTTTTGCTGCGATTTTGGTGAGAGAATTGAGGATCGGGAGGAAGAATGGAGAGTTAGAGAGCAGAGGGAAGTGGAACTGTCGCTTGAAAGGTGAGAGAAAGAAGGAGAGAAGGCGGGACGGTTGTCGCTGTCACGTCTGCAATTCAAATTGTCAGAGACGTGATTACCTTTTTGCCCCCGCGTGTATTTAATTGGCATGATCTGACGGCTGGGAAGATGGTGCGATGGAAGGTCAGATGGACGGTTACTGACCGTTACTGATAGGTCGGTTACTGATAGGATCCGGACCCCCTCCGCCCCTGCCCATAGAAATAATGTCTAAGATATCATTATAGGCCATTGTGTACTAAAAAATGCTTTCCAAATTCGTTATTTGGCTTTAATATAACCTTAACGAATTGAGAATGTTGTGAAGTTACAAGAAGCTCGTGTTGTAAATTAGTTGTCCTTGCAATTTTGGATGTGGAAGGAACTACATCTTTATGCATCAACTTTTACTTGTTCAATTCCTAGGGTAGAGTAATATTTCCCTCCGAATGAATAAGAAAAATACAGTGTTGGGATGATAATTTGCCATACCTAAAAATATAATTGACATAACAACATCAAAATAAATATATGCTCTTTATGAGTATGATCATAATTAGCTCATTGATTATCTGATGATACATAAGTTATACTATTTTACGCCTATTTTATGGCATATTTTGCATCTTTATCATATTTTTATTGTCATATTAGTTTGAATTGCTGGATAAATGCTCCAAGGTGTGTTTCGTAGATCCTAAGATTAATTTTACTACTTTCCCCTTAGCAGTATTCTACGTGTTTTCAGGTCAAATTATCCTAGTGGACCACCTTGTATGAGTGAGAGACATCAAGGCCCAATTGGTTGAAGTCATAAATGAAGATTGGTGCTCACGCCCAAAATGACGTAACATTTAGTCGACCAAAATGGTCTAGCTCTGAGGATCACTTTTACTATTTTGATTCACTTTTATGTATATCTATTTCTTACACTGTGATTAATCTTGTTAGCCATAACACTAAAGTCCAATATACCAGTATAGGTCTAATGCACTCCTAAAAATGCTTCGCAAATTCGTTAATTGGCTCTCGACTCGCTAAAACGCAACTCCTAATGGCCATGTGTAACCAATGAAAGGGATTGCAGTATAGTGCACAAGTAGTAAATATCAAATCCATGGGACTCTAGAGTTACTATTACTCAGTTTCAGTTTATTATCTAGCAAAACAGTGCCCAAAGCTGGAATTTACACCCCTAGTTTACACGGTCGTGTAAATAAATACACACCTATGGAAACTCCAAAACGCACCGTTTCACTTGCTCGGACAAGGGCAAAAGCACGATGTTGATGTGGAAACGCACAACCGTGTAAATAGGGGGTCATCCCTGTGTGAACTCTCCTGTCTCCCTGCACGGCCAAATCTGCATTTATCCGGCCCCGTGTGAACTCGATGGACTTGCACGGATGATTCCCTTTAGTTTCACGGTCTCCTCAGGGGTTTACACGACCGTGTGAACTCAAGTTCTGACTGTGTAAACCTCTCCTTCCTTGGTCCTAAGTCACGAACTTCATCCAATTGTCCGAAATCTCTCTCTTAAGCTCTCATTTACATTCTAGGACCCATAACATCACATGCATGCACAACCTAGCATAAAAATGCCAATCATGCAAGAAACCAATCCCAAACGACCAAGAGACGAGGGAATAAACATGTGTTTTATGGTGTTATCAAATTCTCTCACACTTAACTGTTTGCTTGTCCCGAAGCAAATCAAGTAGGATACAAGTCAACTCAATATGTTTTAACCGTGAAAATCTTGGGACATGTCATAGAGGCACAAAACACATGATCACAATAGCCATATGGCATCAACACATGAACAACAACAACAACCTTGACCACCCTTGCAAATTACATCGAATGCAACAAGTTCATGACCTTGAAAGTGCCTGATCAGACTTATAAAAGTGCTCGCACACACAACTAGTCAATCAGTATCCCATGATTTTTAGACACAGAGATTAATTCATACCGAACAAAATTTCGAGGAATTACGTCCTCACATGGATATATAACATGAAAATTGAATCACTCACTCTCGACCAGTAGGGCCATGATCATTTGATGCAAAAGATATGCATACTCATACTCTCAAACCTATCATCTCACTACCATGAAACTAGCTGTTAACACTTTGCAATGCAATCGAATCTCTATAGTTGGGACACCAATAACTTGTCACGATGGCTTTTAATAGGGTTGTAACTTGTTCACGTCTAGGACATGGTAAATATTTCTTTATGGTGGTGGACATAATTTAATGATTAAGGTTTCACAAATCGCATAGCAAACCAAGCATAACTCAATTCGTTCTGTGTCGATTCTACTTTACCGGACTTAAGCAAAGAAGTAAAAGAGGAAACTTTCAAATGATAGGAGTTTTTAGCCTTTGGGCCAGAAAATAACTCCTATTCTTTCAATTTCAAACTCTTGTGGCTGCTCTCTTTATTCTTTATTTCCTTGGTTGTTTTCTCATTTTGTTATTGCTAGAGACATGGATCAAACAACCAAATCTTCCAAAGGATTCCTCCAAAAATCTTGTGTGTATTCTTTTTAGAACTAAGCAAAGAACTGTTCAAAAAACCAACCACGTGAAACCTTGAATAAGGATCAAACAAATCTAAGCTAGAAGAATAGGGATTGGCTTTAGACAGAGCCACAATCGCAAAGAACAGGTTAAGGCTCAATGAGGGTTGACTAAGGAATATTGTGATATGGGTAGTCAATTTTGCCATGGGCTAAACAAATGCCTCTACCTTCCTGATTAGTGGTGTCACGATTCGGTCTCATGCAAAGTGCAAGTCAGTTATCATGCAAAGAGGGAACTAATCACACAAGAAAGAAATGAGCATGCAAAAATCTCGCATGGCTATCTAGATGCTCAAATCTCATGCACGTTCATCACTCTATATGCCTAAACAACCAGGAATAGAACCAACCAACATGTTTTTCAATAGCTTTGCCATCAAATGAAAACTAACACCGGACACAAACTCACTGCAATTCTCAGTCAACATGATAGGTTGCATGCAACCTCAATCATACCACTCAAGCACAACATCAAAAGGCCACCAATTCGAAACAACATTTTCAATAGTTCCCACTACGATCATGCATAAGAGGTAAGAAATGTCGCCCTCAAATTTTAAAATTTGGACACTGGACTAGACTCCAAGATAAGCAAAACAAAATCATTAATCACACCCAAATATAATGGAACACACACCACACATAAGCATGACATTGTCCTCAATAGAGGAAAATAAGGATGGTAAGACGAGGTTACCGGACCAGGTGATGAATGATGGTGGATGGGAAAGGAGGTGCGTCCCATGGAAGAGAGAGTCGGTGGAACTGCAAAAACCACACAAAAGCTCACAAAGTCCGAGTTATTGACTCGAAAATCGAAAGACTCACTCAGCCAAAGACCAAACGGAAAATATTTCAAACCGACTGGTTGGGTTGTTTCCCAACAAAGCGCTTCTTTCACGTCTTTAGTTGGACGATGGCTCATAAGTTTTGGTCCACCCCATGAGCTCTTTGAAGTTGAGGTTCTCATCGATAAGGTGGAGTTTCAGTCACGAGCATGTGGTGTGGCAGGTGATGAAGGCTCGTGCACTTAATGCAGATGTAGTTGATGACTCGGTATTTGCACATGTTTTCCCCTTTGTTTCTTGATTGTTTGAGCTTGAATTATTACTTCTTTGTCCTATTTTATGCTAGGTTGTGTTCATTTGTCACATTTCAGGTCCTATCACATAAAGTGAAGCATAGGCGCAAGTTTCAAATCAATCAGAGATCAATTGACGATTCGGGAGAAGAAACTCAGGCATGACCTAAAGGAGAATGGACTTCTACCTCACTTTATGGAAAAATAATCATGCAAGCTTGTCATGAAAAGAAAGAGGATGAGACTACGAGCGTCTGGGATCAAACGGGGACTGATTCGGAGTCCGAACGAGGGAGAAACGAAGCATTAAACAAAGTCTGAGCAAGCCACACGGGCATCCTGGAACTCCACACGGCCGTGTGGGTCGTGGCCGTGTGGAAATCACCGAGCCTTCACACGGGCAGATGGGAAAGCCACACGGCCATGTGGCCTGGCCGCGTGATCGGGAATTTCTGTTTAAAACTCGATTTTTCAGCCAAAGGAAAGGGGAGAGTTGGGTTTTTGGTTCCCAAACACCCAAGGGACGAACCCTAGAGAGAGAGAGCGACTTGGGAACATTCTTGGAGCTATTTTGGAGGATTTCTTTGCCATTGGAGCTCGGGAATCAAGCTTGGAGATGGAGATTGAAGATCTAGATCAGATTTCTGCAGTCTCTCTCTTCTCTATGGAGTAACTTCCCTTCACTTAGGTTTTGAGGAACCCTAGTTCCATGTGTTAGGATCTTTCTTGTATGAAGTTTTGGATGCTATACTGTTTGATTATAATCGATTGAGGCATGATTTATTGAGTCAATTGAATCTTGATCAAATTCTCTTGATTTCTGCTTTAACCTATGATAGATAGAATCTGATTAGGTTAAGATAGCTTCCTTGATTGATGGTGGTGAATTGGTTATACGAAAGTTAGTCAATCTACTGCTTTGTACTGGAATCCAATTCCGGTAGTGGAGTTCTGTGTTCATAGCCTCAGCTTTCTATCCCGGTGAAGGTTAGTCGCCTGCCGGGTAGTTGGACTGAGAGGGCTTAGTCAGCTTAAGAGATTCCAAGCTACTGTCGGATCTTCCGCAGTTTAATCAACAGTAGATCAACCAAAGGTAATTGCAACTTGGACCTAATTGAGGAGCTAGGGGGAATCATACCTAAGTGAGTTCACAACTTGTAATTAGTAGAGTAGTCAGTAGAGTAGTTTATAAATCAATCCTTAATCTAGTTTGCTAGATAATGAACTGAAGCTGAGTAATAGTAACTCTAGAGACCCGTGGATTCGATATTTATTACTTGTGCCACTATACTAAAGTCCCTTTCATTGGTTACACTTGGCCATTGTTAGGTATTGTGTTTTAGCGTGTCAAGTTTTTGGCGCCGTTGCCGGGGACTTTCTAGATTATTAGGAAAGGCAGAAGTTTGTTACTTTAGCGTTTTTTCTTTTCTTTTCCACCCTTGCTTTTCACTTGGGTGTTTTTTGTTTTTGTTGGTGCAGATCTGAATCATGGATCCTCATGGCTTCTCCAATCATTGGGGGTATCCACCACCGCCCGAGTGGTATTACCCTGAGACTCCTTGGAGCAATCAAGGAGGAGAAGACTATGGATTTGGGTTCCAGTACCAACCCCCTTACTACGGAGAACAATCATACCCCTGGGCATATCAAGAACAACCTTCTTATCAAGAAGACTTTCTCCCACAATCAGAAGGGCCATTGGAGCTGGAGTTACCCATGGAGGCCTTCACGGGCCACTCTGCAGAGCCATGCTACACTTCACTGGAAGATCCGAACAAACAATTAAGGCTTCTCGTGAAGCACTTTGCTCGAGACATTAAAAGATCATGCTCCAAGATGGATCTTCAAATCCAAGCCCTTGCCCCTTCCGATCCCTCATTTCTCCATGAAATGGAGGAGATTGTTCAGTGCTCAGCGAAGCAAACAGAGTGGGTGGCAAAAGTTTGCTCACATCCTGCTCAAGATCACCTTTCTGCTACCAAGCTAGAAGAGGTGGAGGATGACAAAGGCTACAGGGACGTTGAGGAGCATACAGAAGTGATCACAGAGAACTCCCATGATAATCATTTCTGCTCTAACATGCTGGGCCCGAGCGAGGAGATGCAAGATGATCTCATTGAAGAAATTACATGGCGACTTGCTCTCCAATCTATTCTAGAAGAAGAAGAGAGAGAAAGGTTGAGGGAAGAAGTTGTGGAGGATGAGGAAGAAAGCAAGGAAGAGGAAGTTCTTGATCAATTCCCAGGGGTGATACCTCATGAAGAAGAAAGGGAGGTTGAAGAAGCAATTAGCGTCCAGGCTGAGGACGGAGTTAAGGTAGAAGTGGCCTGCACCGGCCAAGAGTTACATGAGATATCTCCACCAAACTTCGAGGAACTGCTTAGCAAGGACCCATTTGCAGTGTCTCTTTGCCAGACCAAGGCCACATCGACATTGGTCCCTCTTGGTGGACACGATGGTGGCCAATCGATGCTGTCATATCTGGTTTGGGGCAATGGGACGAGAGAAGAGAAGAAGAGGTCTCGAGGATGGAGACTTCATCTGCATCAAGTGCACGAGCTTCCATCACCAGTCATACCCCATGCTCGTGACTTGCGACTCCACCTCATTGACGAGAACCTCAACTTCAAGGAGGTTCTAGCATGGACCAAAACTTAGGAGCCATCGGTTGGCTCACGACGTGAAAGAAGCGCTTGTTGGGAGGCAACCCAACCAGTCGATTTGCATTTCTTTCTCTATTTATCCTCGGTTGAGTCAGTTTTGTTATTTGATTTTAGAGTCAACAACTCAACCTTTGTGAGATTTTGTGTGGTGTTTGCGTTCTGATTACTCTCTCTTCCTGGAATGCACCGCCTGACCCGTCCATCATCATTCACCCTTGATCTGGTAACTTCGTTCTACCCTCCTTATCTTTCCTCCATTGAGGACAATGTCGTGCTTAAGTGTGGGGGGGGTGTTCGATTATGTATGCGGGTGAATGTTTGGCTGTTTGTGTGCTTGGAGCCTAGTCCACTGTCCAAATTTTTAAATTTGAGGGCTCCAAGTACGTGTTTCCTTGCAAATTGCCTGCTCAGTATGCTTTGAATCGACTTCTCTATAGTAATGTGCAACCTAGGGAGGTAGTGTAGCACTATGGAGGATGTTGAAGTATAAGATTTTTCCTATCTAGCTCTCTGTTGTGCCAGTTGATTTTGTGAAGCAGTGGAGCTAAGACATTTGAATTCATGTGGTGATGGTGACTCTGTTTGGATTGTGTTATGGACTCGTGTATCGAGCAGGGTGCTCATATGGAAAATGGGAAGCAATTGGTCCTCCATGTCGAAATCATTGAAATCTTAAACATGGGGTAAGCCCAACGTGTGTGGCACCGTTCATTGCACAAAATTGGGTTTTGGAAGAGATTTTAGTGATCCTTAGTGGGGTACTCCTACAAGGTGAAGCTAAGTTGTCTCTAGTACAAGTAAAATTTTCACCCGTTGAACGGTTTTCCTACTTGAGGATGTGTTTTTAAGGGCACGGATAGAGCTTCCGACCCCCCTTGATTTCATTGACCCTCTACACGAGTTGAGGAAAAGGAGTTAAAAGAAGTACTCTGGAGAGCGATAGATGTACAAAAATTGCTCTTGCTCGACTAATAAGGGTCGACCGTGCAAAAGACTGTAGTTGGAACCCCCGCCAAGTGAATGAAGAAAAAAAGAGAAAAAGAAATGTAAATGAAAGTGCAAAAAGGGGTTCCAACGGTGAAATGAAGTGAAAGAGCACCCCGGTACAACGAGTCCTTGGTTTTGAATGGTGTGAGTCCCTTTGTCCATGAACTGACTGTCTTACTTCTACTTCTTCTCATGTTCCTGGCTTGAGTCTAGTACTCGCATAGAGAGAGGTAGGGGACGTCTTAGAAGACCAGTTGACCTCGTAAGCAGCTATATGATCTAGGAAATCCTCTACCGATGATCGGGGTTGTTTTTTGCAATAGAGGTCTGGAGAGCTGCATTGGTTTGAGTTAGGTTTGCTTGGGGACAAGCAAACAGTTAAGTGTGGGGAGATTTGATGACTCGATATTTGCACATGTTTTCCCCTTTGTTTCTTGATTGTTTGAGCTTGAATTATTACTTCTTTGTCCTATTTTATGCTAGGTTGTGTTCTTTGTCACATTTCAGCTCCAATCACATAAAGTGAAGCATAGGCGCAAGTTTCAAATCAATCAGAGATCAATTGACGATTCGGGAGAAGAAACTCGGGCATGACCTGAAGGAGAATGGACTTCTACCTCACTTTATGGACAAAGAATCATGCAAGCTTGTCATGAAAAGAAATAGGACGAGACTACGAGCGTCTGGGATCAAACGGGGACTGATTCGGAGTCCGAACGGGGGAGAAACAAAGCATTAAACAAAGGCTGAGCAAGCCACACGGGCATCCTGGAACTCCACACGGCCGTGTGGGTCGTGGCCGTGTGGAAATCACCGAGCCTTCACACGGGCAGCTGGGAAAGCCACACGGCCGTGTGGCCTGGCCGCGTGATCGGGAATTTCTGTTTAAAACTCGATTTTCAGCCAAAGGAAAGGGGAGGGTTGGGTTTTTTGTTCCCAAACACCCAAGGGACGAACCCTAGAGAGAGAGAGAGCGACTTGGGAACATTCTTGGAGCTATTTTGGAGGATTTCTTTGCCATTGGAGCTCGGGAATCAAGCTTGGAGATGGAGATTGAAGATCTAGATCAGATTTCTGCAGTCTCTCTATCCTATATAGTATAACTTCCCTTCACTTAGGTTTTGAGGAACCCTAGTTCCATGTGTTAGGATCTTTCTTGTATGAAGTTTTGGATGCTATATTGTTTGATTATAATCGATTGAGGCATGATTTATTGAGTCAATTGAATCTTGATCAAATTCTCTTGATTTCTGCTTTAACCTATGATAGATAGAATCTGATTAGGTTAAGATAGCTTCCTTGATTGATGGTGGTGAATTGGTTATACGAGAGTTAGTCAATCTACTGCTTTGTACTGGAATCCAATTCCGGTAGTGGAGTTCTGTGTTCATAGCCTCAGCTTTCTATCCCGGTGAAGGTTAGTCGCCTGCCGGGTAGTTGGACTGAGAGGGCTTGGTCAGCTTAAGAGATTCCAAGCTACTGTCGGATCTTCCGCAGTTTAATCAACAGTAGATCAACCAAAGGTAATTGCAACTTGGACCTAATTGAGGAGCTAGGGGGAATCATACCTAAGTGAGTTCACAACTTGTAATTAGTAGAGTAGTCAGTAGAGTAGTTTATAAATCAATCCTTAATCTAGTTTGCTAGATAATGAACTGAAGCTGAGTAATAGTAACTCTAGAGACCCGTGGATTCGATATTTATTACTTGTGCCACTATACTACAGTCCCTTTCATTGGTTACACTTGGCCATTGTTAGGTGTTGTCTTTTAGCGTGTCAGTAGTCTCCACTCCTCAGACCTCTACTTATCTCTTCTCATTGCCCCAAACTAGTTATGACAACATCAAATGACCACCATCGCATCCACCAAAAGAGATAGATGTCAGTGTGGCCTTGGTTTGGCAAAGAGACACTACAAATAGGCCCTTCTCTAGTAGCTCATCAAGGTCTAGTGGGGATCTCTAGAATGAATCTGGGCTTATAGAAGCCTCAACCACCTTGACCTCATCCACTTCTTGGACCTCAATTTCTTCTACAACCACCCTTTCGTCTTCAGAATTTGTTTCTCCCCTTGTGGAAGATTAAGAACTTCCTCTTCATTTCTTTCTTCCTCCTTCATAACTTCTCCTCTCACCCAGTCTTTCTCATCTCAAGCAAGGATTGGAGAACAAGTCTCCATGTAAGGCTCTCGATAAGATTAACTTTCATCTCCTAATCTATGCCATTTCTTCAAAGTGGGAATAGGCAAAGGTGTTGTTTGCCACAACTAGACATTCCTGATCATAATTATCATGGGAGTTCTCCCTGTCAACTTCTATATGCTCCACAATTCCTCTTTATATGAAGCTTCTTGTTTCTCCACCTCCCCCTCTTGTTGTGTGGTAGGAAAATTTTGATCTTGCGCAAGTGGTGCAACTCTTGCTCAATGACCTCGATGTTCTTCTTCATGTGCTGGAGGGTCTCCTCTGTTTCGCGGAGATCAGAGAAGTTGGAAGGGGCAAGGGCTCGGATGTAGAGGTTCATCTTGGAGCTTGATCTTCCGGTATCCCAAGCAAACTGCTCACCAACAATCTCCAACTAGCTCTTTGGCTTCGGATGTGGAATATAGCATGGCTCTTCATAATGGCTCGTAAAGGCTGCCACGACTAACCCTAGCTCAGATGGCCCCTGTGGTTGTGGAAGGAAATCTTCTTGATAGGGAGGGTGGTTTTAGAAATTCCCAAAGGTCTGGTTGTGCATTGTAGAAAGGTGCTTATTCTTCCTAGAATCTGAATCCGCAGCAACGACGCAAAAATTCCCATATATGGATGAACTTTTGCATACCTGAAACTAGAACATTTCCTGCTTTCTATTAGTTTCTGTTATTGAGAATCTTCACTCGAATTGCACAGCTAAATAATATAAATTCACAGAGTAGACAGTACACCTAGGCCCCGAGTTGACAATAAGAACATGTACCAACTATAATGCAGTTCCATTCTATGATTATACTTGGTCGTGGTTTGGTGTTGTGTTTTAGCGAGGCAAGTTTTTGGCGTGAAAATATGTTATTTTAGCCCATACTTTGTCATGATATCCGAGGCAATATCCCAACCTTCTGCTCCCACATAATTCTGATGGACGATGAGGTTAAGCCAGTCAGGCAGCCGTAGAGGAGCTTGACTCCTAACCTGGAGGTAGTGGTCCGTGCAGAGATTGTGAAATTGATGGATGTCGGGATCAAGGTTCTAAAAGGCGCTAGGCATAAGGCACGCGTTCGGCTCTTGACTTGCGCCTTGCCCGATTAGGCGTAGCCTAGGCGCGCCTAGGCGTTTAGAGCATAAATGGAAAAATTCTCAAATATTTCCTATTTTCTAGAATAATTCATATAATCCAAGTGCATATAAAATTAGCAATGCCTAGTTCTTAACAGTAAACACTTAACATAACAAATAACAAGCAAATAGTGACCAATCATCTGCTAATAGGTGCTTATAAAGGCAAGAAGCTTGTGCTACATACCGAGGAGAAGGAAGGAGCAACAATTGACGAGTTTTGACTTTATTTCCCACTATAGCAGCGAAGCAGTGTGAAGGCGAGAAGAGTGACGATGACTTTCTCCGGCGGCGGCAGAGAGCAGCAAATGAGGCGAGAGCTAGGGCGGCAGGCGGTAGCAGATGTTACTTCCCGTGTTTCTGATTTTTCTAGGGCATGAGGCAAGTTTCTGATTTTATAGGACAAAACGAAGAGTATTGGGTTTAACCGCCTAAGCTCGCCCAGGAACGCCCAGGCATGCCTTCTCTCCACTAGGCACAAACTAAGCGCTATTCCTACCTACTAAGCGCTATCAGCGCCTTTTACAGCTCCTATGGCCAAGTCAAGGCGATCCTCCACCGCCTAGAACCTAATTGAGCCTAGGCGTGCGCCTAGGCATGCCTTCTTGAACCCTGGTCGGGATCATTTTGTCTATATATGACAGCAAGTGGGTCAACCCCACTCGGGTGGTTCCGAAGAAAGGCGGGATGACTATGGTACCGAACGAGAAGAACGAGTTGATCTCGATGTGGATGGTGACTGGGTGGCTATCTGCATTGACAACCGGCGCCTGAACAATACCACCAGGAAGAACCATTTCTCTCTCCCTTTCATTAACCAGATGCTGGAGAGGCTGGTGGTACACGAGTTCTACGGCTTCCTGGATATCATGTTCGGGTACTTTCAGATCTCGATCGCTCAGAGGATTAGGCGAAGACCACTTTCACCTGCCCTCTCGACACCTTTCTTACCGGCAGATTCCATTCGGTCTCTGCAATGCACCATTGACCTTCCACTAGTGCGTGTTGGCTATCTTCGTCCGCCTGGTTGAAGAGATTATGGAAGTCTTCATGGATAGCTTCTCGGTTTATTGAGACTCCTTCTCTCATTATCTCCATAAACTCGAACTTGTCCTGAAGAGGTGTGAGGAGAAAAACTTGGCACTCAGCTGGGCGAAGTGCCACTTCATGGTTCACGAAGGAATTGTGCTCGAGCACAAGATCTCCAAGCAGGGTATTGAGGTAGATCGCATGATGATAAAAACGATCAGTAAGCTACCTCTTCCTATTTATGTGAAGGGGATCCGCAGCTTTCTAGATCACGCAGGCTTCTACCGGAGATTCATCAAGGATTTCTCAAAGATCGCCTTGCTTTTGACCAAGCTGCTATAGAAGGATGCACCATTCCATGTCACTCCAGAGTGAACAACTGCATTCGAGACCTTGAAAGAGAATCTTACCCATGCCCCCATCATGGTCACTCCAGATTGGTCTCTCCCATTTGAGCTGATGTACGATGCAAGTGACTATTCGGTCGGAGCTATTTTTGGCCAGAGACGCGAAAAAAATTTCTAGCCCATCTACTACATGTCGAAGACTTTGAATGATGCCCATGAAAACTACACCACCATAGAGAAGGAGTTGCTTGCAGTGGTGTATGCTTTCGACAAGTTCCGAGCGTACTTGGTGCTCCACATATAGTGGTATACACAGATCATTTTACACTACTTGAAGACCAAGGCTGACGCCAAGCCTCGGCTCATCCGCTGGATCCTGCTGCTACAGGAGTTTGATATCGAGATCCAGGACAATAAAGGAGTAGAGAACATTGTTGCAGATCATCTTTCACGGTTGGAAGCCTCTTCTATGGATAATTTTGTGGAAGAGATCAACGACTCCTTCCCAGATGTGCAACTCCTGGCGTTGTGCCTGGTGGAGAGTGTCACCCCTCGGTACTATGAACTTGCCAATTATCTGGTGGGAAAAGAGTTACCTAAGGGGATGGCCACTCATGCTAAGCGCAAATTCTTCTCCAACCTGAAGCACTATTTCTAGGAGGATCCATACTTCTTCAAGATCGGAGTAGATGGCGTGATAAGATGATGTGTCAGACATCATGTCTCACGATCACGAGGGACCCGCTGTCGATCATCATGGAGGAAACAACACGACGCTAAAGGTACTACAGTCAGACTTCTATTGGCCCACGCTCTCAAATATGATGATACCTTCACACGCTAGTGCGTTCTCTCTCAGCGGTCAGGTAACATCTTTGCGCGTGATGGGATGCCCCAGAAGTTGTTAGTGACTTGTTAGATTTTTTTTATGTCTGTGGCATCGACTTCATGAGTCATTTTTCTCATTCATTCGGTAATATATACATCTTGGTTGCTATGAACTACGTCTCGAGATAGGCAGAAGCTTAGGCCATGCCCACCAATGATGTAAGACGTGTTTGTGCATTTCTGAAGCAACTATTTTCCCAGTTCGGGACACCTCGAGCCATCATTAGTTATAGAGGAATCCATTTTCAAGGGCAATTCACTAAACTTCTCTCACTATGATGTTAAGCATAAGGTGCCAATGGCTTACAATCCCCAAATGAATGGGAAGCCGAGCTGACGAACCGGGAATTGAAAAGACAGTAGATCAATCCCGCGAGGATTGGTCTACCATGCTCGATGATGCTCTCACACGTTGGGCTTACTCCAAACTTCATTTCTGAAAACAACAAGGCATTTTTTAGTGAAACAATGTGTTGATAGGTAGACTTTTGCATTTTTATGAAGGTACAGTTCAACATTTGAAAGCTTTTGAAAATGGGACTCCTGTGCCTAATCATAAATCTTTGAATAGATCAACAATATTGCATTCAAGCACATCAAATGGACATTATATCTCACTGAGTATCGCATCCTTCATAGCCACTACACTATCCTCCCTAGATCAAGTCATCAATGCAGTCAAAATCGCACTTTAAAACTTAAAATCTTATGATTTTGCACTTCTAGAGCACCAAAACGCTTTCGTTTCCATATAAAATCTTTATAAAATTGGACTATATTGCGTTTTAAAGCTTAAAAGCTTACACTTTTACGCTTCTAGTTCACTAAAATGGGTATTCTTTTCATGAAATTAATTTTAAAAAGTATATTTTAAATGTAAATCACCAAATTGTAATACATTTGAGATTCAAAGATACATACCAGGTACTTGGGTGCATTCTCACCTTCAGTAGAATAATCTAATTCACCAGCTAGACCTTTCCAAATTCATTAACATAGAGGGGTAGGTGCCTTATTGTTAAGATCTATGTTTACGAACTTATTGTTAAGATGTTATGAGTTGCTCTTTTTCATATACGAATTAAAAGTAGTGCATGAACCTCAAGAACGAAAGTTGAGCGTGGGTTGGTGGGGAATAGTCAGCACCAAACTCAGTCTCCTGGTATCTTGTGATCGTCTTCCATAGCTCCCAGAAGATCACTTCTGCGACGTGGGATCCCAATAAGTTGCAAGGATAGCATCAGAGAGTGTTCCTCTCTAATGATAGGCTAGGTTCCCTATCTTCACGGCAGTCAAAACTATTTTTGAAGTGTCGTCCCACCAACCTATATGAATGTATCTCTGGCTTGAGTCCCTTGATGGAGTCACTATCAAAGTGACCTAGAACTCCCTTGTGAGAACATCGTTGCTCTCTCTTATTTTTATCACTATCCTGCAGTCCCTTTCATTGGTTACACTTGGTCGTTGTTAGGATTTTTATTTTAGCGTCGTTGTTGAATTTGATTAGTTAATCTTGCTCAAGAATTTCATTAACTCCTACACTCTTGTGCTTAAAATATGTTAGAAGCACCATTAGCAGTGAAAGTTGTTATGTGTGATTCATGTTGTATGTGGTTTTTCTTGGAATTGTGTAACTTTGAGCTATATGTATCCACCACCTAAATATCGTGTTCCCCATCTACTCGCCCCTTGTTAGTTACATTACAACCCGGTCTAGTCCTCTTGACAAGTTAGTGGTGACCCCCGATCTGTGAACTCCAACACTTAGAGGCAATTATCATGGTGAAGAGATGTTAGGGATGAGAGAATGAGTTGAGTATGCACATCTTTTACATCAAACTGTCCTGAACCCACTAGTTGAAAGTGAGTGATTTATTTTCCATATTATAAATCCTGGTGAGGAACTAGATTGCTCGGTCTTTGATTTGATGTTGTGGTATTTACGCATGAGTGAGTGTGATCAGTGAGTAGTTGAGACAAGTGGTTTGTTGGTTTATGGATAGAGAGGAAACTGTTCTTTTCCATGATTTTGCTACATTCGAATGTCATCTGTGTGGTGGTTGTCAAGGTTGTTGTTAGTCCAATACATTGCTTTGTACTGGAATTCGTTCCAAGTAGTGGAGATTTGTGTGAATTGCCTTAGCATTCTATCCAGGTGAAGGTTAGTCGCCTGCCGGGTATTGTGCCTAAGAGGGCTTGGTCGGCTTAAGAGATTCCAAGTTATTATGGGACCTTTCACATTCTAATAAAATGTCAAACGACCAGAGGAAATTACAACTTGGACCTAATTGAGGATCTAGGGGGCGCCTACCTGAGTGACTCTTCTCTTCCTTTAAGAACCGATCAATTTACTTGATTTGTTTATGTTCTAGTTTAGAATCACTTTCACCCAATTTCGACCGCTAGATAATAGACATTCACGGAGTAGACAGTATACCTTCACGGGTTGTGTTTGCAGTTTGTGTGCAGGTAGTTGATAACACTATATTTACACATGTTTTTCCCGACAATTCTCGACCGTTTGGCTTAACCTTTGATTTCTTTTTGGCCCATTTTACGTGGGTAGTACTTGTTGATGATGTTTCAGGTCCTAGCACATAAATGGAGGCTGAGGAGAAAGTCTGGGTGCAACTGGAGAGCAGATGGGAACCGAAGGGCAAAGCAACAAAATACACGGTTTGTGATTCGGGTCCAATTATATACATTTTACCCCTCATTTCTTGATAGTTTGGCTTTGCATTTCATCGTCCCTCGACATATTCCACTCTAGGTTGTGCTTGTTTTGATACATTTCAGGTCCTAGCACATTTGGAAGCAGTCAGTCCACGGTCACACAAGACCATGAACTGGAGCCACAAACCGTGAACTGGCGAGGCTCCAAAGAGTTTTTAGAGGTTACTGTCGCCGAGTCAGTTCACGGTCACAAGACCGTGAACTGAAGCCATGGACCGCAATCTGGTTTAATGAAGCGGCGCGTCTTGAGTATCGTAGCTATCCTTAGGATAAAGGCATCGTTTAGCTAAACTGGCAGGTAATATAAGCTCTTAAATTTGACTTCAACTCATTTCGAATTCTCTTTGAGCTGCAATTTTTGCTCCCATCATAGTTCAATCATTTTGTTTTTCCCATGAGCTGCCAAAGATAGGAGGCAAAGGTTGGGTACATTATTTGCTTTATGTTGCTTAGTGAATGGGCTTGCTTGGGGTGAATTGGAAATTTGTACATGCTTGCGTCTCCCTAACTACAAGGATGACGTACTCTGTAACTTTAAGACATATTACTTTTCTTATTTAAGTTGTATCCTCCTATTCCCAATATGGCATAACCACGCAAGAGCTTGGGCGTGGGCTGTAATATAAAACAGTAACTTGTTTTTTTATTATATTTTGGATTAATCTACCCAAGCTATTGATGTTGCAACTTGTTCCTTTCTTGATTCATGTTTAATGCAGATTATCTCCATGCTTTAAATATTTTGGGTGCATAACCATTAAGGAGAAAGGTTTAAGCGCTTAGCTAACTTAGAATTTTGGTAAGAGAATCTCTTAATTGTATCGTTAACTTATATTTGAACTTTTCGCTCGTATATATATTATAAATAAAAAGTAACTTGGAACTTTTTTTTGTTTGAAATGTTTATGCAGGTTGTCAACTAGCACTGACATTTTGGCCATGAACAACTAACGACATTGATTTGTGAGCATGCACAGTTAGTAGTTGATATATATTATGATATGCCTAGTGATATGTATTGAGAGCTACTCATTAAATTGCAAATAGTATGTAACAAGAGAACAAGATCCAATGTAATGTTAGGTGATGTACACATCTATATTGGAGTGTCTAATTTGGGTGTTGATATTTATATGAGCAGTGTATTATGACAGTTAGGCTTTAGTTGTGCTTACCTTTACCGCAACAAAGTTCTTTATTGTGCTCTATAAACAAAATAAATAAGAAAATCATTCAAGAAAATTTTCAGATGAATTTTTTGGTTTTAGCGACGAATTATTTCATTACAAAAAACAGGTATTTATCGTCGCTGAATATATAGAGAATCAACAACGAAACAAACCATTGCAAAGTATTGACATTCTGTAGTGGTCTCTATCATCGCAGAAAGACTTGCAATCTGCAACGAATCTATTCGTCGTAGATAACTATATTTTGCGATGGAAGTCGTCGTCGCAGAAGATTCATACATACTGCGACGAAACAGAACGTCGTCGGATGAGCATTTTTGCGACGAATGATTCGTCGCAATAAATGAACTTTCTGCAATGACAGTATCATCTTTACAAAAGTATTCCTTTGGCGACGATATCTTCGTCGTTGAAGTACGATTACTTCAGCGACGACTGTGAACCTTTTGCAACGAGGCATGGTTTCTCCGTCGCAGAACTTTCTGCAACGTTGTATACGCGACGACCATGTTTCCCTTTTTGCGATGATATTTCGTCGCAGAATCTTTTCGCGACGAATTTTTTGCCTTTCTGCAACAGTTGTCTTCGTCGCTAATAACAAGATTTCTTGTAGTGCCCAAACGAACCGACCCACGTACACCCCTAGGAAGAGTGTCAAAACTTAGTATTTAACAGAACAAAAATGTCCAGAGAACGAGTCCCCTATAGTTTGCACAAAGATATGATTGCTTCACTATAGTTCTGGAAATTCATGGTAATTTAAGAATTCTATATCGCTTCTACATATTCAATACTATAATTCGATATGAAATATTCGAACCAACAATATTTTGGTTGCAAATTTATGGTTATCGTCTATTTATAAGATAGATAAAATTTTAAATTAAGTATTAAACTATAACTAAAAAAATATAAAAATCGAACTATCAAAACACCAAATAAGTACTTACCGAATATTTATTGGGCTAGCTAACTGTTGAAAATTTATGTGATTTCATATTTTAGCTTCGTATATATTTTTAATTTTAAAAATACAACAAATCTACATAGTCTAATTGATTTTAAACCTTCACTTTGTTTGAAGTGATCATGGTTTAAATCTCAATATGTCTATCTTTTTCTGTAAATAAATAAAAAAATACAGATAATTGTGAAGAAAATAATGTCCTTTCTAATTTCCCTCTCATTGCAGGAAATTTGAAAATGGAGATTAAGTTTCAAATAATTAAATCATATACCCTAAATCTATAGAACTCAAACCCTAATATCACATATACTAAGAACATAATCAATGATTCTGATTTGTCAAGATGTATACAACATACCATATGCACTATGTTAGGATTTAGAGAATTATGATATAGGGTTTAGTTACGCGATTAATCTGTGGTCTAGATGATGTTATTAACTAAGGAGATGCAATAACCCTCAATCCATCGAGCGTACCATAGAATTTCCAATGTATATACACATACCATTGTTTCTTAAATTTAGCCAATGATATTGATAATTGGCTCATTTGTCAATGGGATTTACTATTTAGTCTTTCAATTCTATGCTTATATAAATGTCAACCATTAAGAAAATTGTTAGCCAATGATATTTGGTCATTCACTTATAGCATTGAAAATGTCTCGTTACAAAACCATAGATCACAAATGTTAAATTTATGTTTTGAAATAGAATTTTGTATAACACTTTTGTAAACAATTCTTGTATTCCTACAAACTACAAAGTCATGTAACCTAATAAATGAAAAGTTATAAGACATATATAAACTCAAAATGTACTATTTGATTCTTGGTGAAGAATTGTGTGATTAGAGGAACTCACTTAGTTGATTCATAAAGCTAGGTATATCATGATGATTCACTTTCTAAATAATTACAGTTATTAATTAATTCGATGCTTGATTGTTGTGGTGGATAGTCATATGATTTTGAGATATTTCAGTATATTTTCTCTTTTATTCAAAAAATACATAAACATTTTTGTAGTCCAGTAGGTTAGGGATATTGACCATCAATCTAAAAGGCTCGAGTTCATGTCTTTGTAATGACATTTTTTTCTCGTAAAAAGATATTTAATTTCTAAACTGAACTACAAATTTACCCTTAGCTACAATTAAGGAGAGTGCAATTGAAATGTTCAAAATCTTCTAAAGTACTACTATATATTATAGAGGGACTAGTAGCTGATCAGAAGGATTCCGCTTAGTGTTAATTAGGCTATTCATAACAAACGAAGGGTAGTTTAGGTATTGTAAACAAATTATATGACCTGGTGTTACGCTGATCACATAAAAAAAAAAGCCAAATCGAACACAGAAAAGAAACGGTCGGGGTCCTTGCAAGGAAAAAAAAGCAAATCTCTAGTAAATTCTAAATTTCAACGAGGTCTAGGTTCTCCTCATTGGCAGAGTTCTTCAGCCTTTCAACCGCTTTTGCGACCTATGAAATGGAAGAATCAAAAATTTATTGCCCAAATACAAATGAAGGGGAAAGGAGAAAGAAATCAAAGAATATAAATTGTCAGTTCATAAATATATATATGAGACTTATTAGTTAGTATAGTAAGTTTATTTACCTCAGCATCCCAGTTTGTTCTTGCTGTGATAATAATCAACGTTATTGTTTGCAACACAACTCCTATGATCATTCCCCACCAAATCCCCTGCAAAACTACTAATTGTTAAGATGATAGATCACAAAAAGAACAATAAAGCACTTAAGGAAAAATAATAGATCACAAAAATACTCATTACTTTAATATCTAGCCTATCTAAATATGTGTTATAACTATTACTATACTCACTTAAATTCTTTGTTCATCTATATCCCTCAAACATTATAATGATCTTTTAGATCTCAGATCTAACTCTTTGTCTCTCAAATTTTTACAAACAATATAAAAAAGAACTTCAATTAACATCGACATTTTAACAAAAACAAATTAGATCAAATAAATTTTTCTGGTTATAATTGTTCGGAGATGATGCATGTGAGTTTTTCCGAACGGATTAATTTTAGTATGTCATATTATATCGCCACATAGCTAGTTTTGATGCGGGATTGATTATGATTTTAATAAAACCACAATTCAAGAGTGACATATCCATCCGAATCTGTTTGCAAAGAGAGGAGGATGGGTTAGTTAGTTAGTTACCGCAACTCCCAAAGAGGTTTTGAAGCCAAGCACGCATCCAATTGGAAGGCCGATGATGTAGTAAGTAGCCAAGTTGACATAGGCCACCACGCCTTGCCACCCACTCCCAATCGCCACTCCTGCGTGCCAAACAACACACACACATTTATTTTATTATAAGCAGAACAAGAGGAAAAAAGGGTATTTCCAGCAGATGGAGGTGTTACCGGAGAGGATAGGCTGGATGCCGTTGAGGAAGACAGAGATGGCGAGCAGCGGAGTGAGATTGGAGACTGCGTCGATGACCTGAGAGTCGGTGGTGAAGATCTTGCTCAGCCCAGCTCTGCAGATCGACACCACGGCGCTGAAGAGTGTGCTGATGAGGATGGTGGTGAAGCTGACCACCCCGACCGCCAGCCTCGCCACCTTTGGATGCCCTCCTCCCAGCTCATTGCTCACCCGGACGCTGCATTCATTTACTCACAACAACAGAACCGAAATATATAGTTACTTGCTTCTATTTTATGCGTCTTCTTCCTTCCAACTTTATTTTCTTTTACCTTTTTTTAATGTTGCCTATCCTTTCAAATTGTTTCCCTAGATGTTTTGCTTATTTGTGAAGATTATGTGAGAGCTTTATTTGTACCTACAACTACTCCTATACATATGGAAAACCCTTCATGCGATGAGAACTCCATAATTAGGAGTCTCAGAGATAAAGTTAGAGACCACTTTGTTTACACATTATCGTCCACCTTCTTCATTCTCCTTTATCAAGTTTTAGTCTTCAACGTTTTGCATTTCATGCTTTCCACTTATCTTCACATGAATTCGTTGTTAACTACATGACGACGTGGTTACCACAAATTGAGCTCGCAAGACTGTAATGTCGAAACCATTCCATGGTTTTCACAATAGCTTGCACCTAGACTAGCCCACAACGGTATTATATATGATGTCGAACCCTACGAGCTCAGCAGATGGAGGTGTTAACCCCCCATGAATCACCATGAAACTCTACAAAATCATGACATAACACCACATAAAACAAGAAACAGTACATGGTATGGCATCATGGGTCATTGAACTCGCACCCCGGACCAGCTCGATTGAACCATGGCTCCACACCGCGATATCTTTTCATTGTTGCAGCTACCGTTGCTTTCCATGGAACCATATGGAAAAGCTTTGGCTCCACCACTACAACTCATATACCAAATCATGGCTCGCACCATTACGGTTGCAACATGCTCCACAGTGTCTCTATGCTTGTGATATTGTTTATTGTGGTTTACATGTTATTCGGACCGCAGCGTTGTTATCGATGAAGCAACATTGTTGTTGGCACCACTACGTTGGTAGAGTTGCGGCGATGTAACTGACCAAACAATGTCGTTGTTTTGACACCAAAGCATAGCCGATAATGGACAAAAATAACTGAAGTCCAACCAATTTATCCTAGTAGCTGAGTTTGACTTACTTGAACCTATTTAAATGATGTAAACTCATCCATCCATGTGTTAATCAATTTAACCCAATAAATTTTAGGCCTAAACCCTCACTTTCAACAAACCGGATGGGTGTAGAATTCGACTTCTTATTAGTGAAGGCTACCTTGTGCAGCTCAGCCTCAAAAGGCTACTTAATAGAAAAAACAGAGGAGGCAGAGAAAAAGGAGCGGGTACCTTGCAGCTGCACTTAGGCCCAGCATGAACTGCATATCCCAGTTCAAGTAGTTCATGCTGCAAAAAGGGTTCTTCTCATTATGTATATCCCCATTTGATGGAAGGAAAAAAACGAGTGTATTCTCGTCGGCATTTATATTTACCAAATGGAGATGGAGTCTAAGGCGACTGTTGGGTTTGACAGAAGACCAGATATTAGCACTAACCCTTGACTGTACCATATCTCCAAGCTGTCATGGAAAGCAATCGCTAAGTCAGCCTGAAGAGAATCAACAAACCAAATTAAAGAAGATAATAGGACATCATCATTACTACCAAAGCATGACAGCAGAAGCAAGCGTGAGCCTGAAATAAGGCCATACTCCCGTGAAAGCCCTGATTGACAGCCCCGTCCACGTCTCCTTACAACGAGGGCTGAAAGCCACGTACACAGCATTCAACAACGCCAGCACCCACCATGAGAAGCTCAGCGTCAGGGCGGCGCCAAGGAGCCCCCACCCAGCCACATCGACGGCGACCCACGTCAGCAGCGTGTGCAGCAAGAAAACCCCCACCGACATGAACGCCAGAGGGTTCACTATGTTCTGCGCCTGCAGGAACCTCTGCAGCGGGCAGCTCACTGCAAATGCGTACAGCTGCGGGATGAGCCCTCTTGCGAACACCTGCCCTTGCTCCGAAATGCTGTCCGATTGGCCCATGGCCCGCAGGACTGGGCCGGCGAACCAGTAGAGGAATGAGAGCAGGATTGCTGCTCCTAAGTGCAGCAGGACCGCCCTCTGGCATATTATCCCCATTGCTGAGTACCTCTTGGCTCCGTACGCTTGCCCGCACACTGTCTGCACTGCGCTCGCCATCCCAAGCTGAAAGTTGATTGATTGATTGGTTGAAGAAAAGTGGGAAAATTTTCAGGAAAATAAAAGGCAGAGAGGGAGGAGACTGTGTTAAAGAGTGTGTACCATAATGCCATATGCAAGGCCTTGAATTCCGACACTGGCAATGGAGGCGCCAGCGAGCTCTAAGGCACCCAGATGGCCAGTGAACATGAGGGTCACAAAGCTGAGCATGTAGTTGAATACCGAGACGACGATGGAGGAACCTGATAAGAGCCAGAGCAGCCTTGACTCCCAAGCGAAGAGGCGAGACCACCACCTGAATGTGATGTGTTGTCTCTGGTGCTGAAGAAGCTCTTCGATTGCATCCGAAGATAAGTGCGGGATGCTGGAGGTTCTAGAGTAGAGATTCGAGAGCAGTGGCTCGTACTCAGGGGATGCCATGTTATGTTAGTGGTGACAAATGCTGAATGTTACTTGGTTCCAGGAAAACAACATTAATATGAGTTGATATAGAAACTGCAACGGCCGAACGTCCCTTCCTTGTCACTACCGAAAGAGAAATACAGAATGGTAGTTGGTGGTGAGGCTGTTGGCATGACAGAGAGCTACAGCTACAGCCTATAGCAAAGTTGTGATACTATATTATGTATGATTTTGTTTTGGGAAGTCGCAAATTTGACTCACTGAATATAATTGAAGACCGGTTGTTGGGGGAGACATGGAACGGACCTAACCCCTCTACAAGCCACGTTTCACAGGTTCAAAAATGCTGCTGCATTACTGCATCAAAACACACAAGTTAAAGGCTTAAATTGGATCTTGTGGTATTGTTTTGTGTGTTGACTTTTGATAGACGACCACACATGCAAAATCGTACCTTCACTTTAATAACTAACTTCACTGCAAAATACTCAGGTGAGTAGTCAACACAGCCATCGACCGAATGTAGGTGCTAATTATAGTAGACTAGAAACAATGCCCGCTGCTACGCCGCAGGGATTTAAGTTGCAGAGTCGTGATGTAGGAAGAGCAGTTTAGTTTATGGTCAATGCAGGATGTTGTAGTTTCTTGTGGGCATTCAATCTACTAATCAAAATATGAGGATGAGATTATTAATGCTAAATTTAAAGCAGACGTGTTGCTGACACATTAGTCGGCTAATCATTTTCCATGTTTGAGGAAAGATAGGTGTCATGCCATCCACACGACATAAGTACAATGCAGCAACACATTAGAAACTTGCATCATTTTCCATGGGCTGGGATAGAAAGACAGGCCAGAACATTCATATTACATGAGCACAATGATTCAGATAATTGAAGACTACTGACACACAAACTAAACATAATGTGCACGTGAAATAAGGTTCCAACTGCAGGCGCCATTCGGACGCTGCCAAAACATGATTTGTGCTCTTACATGGGTCAACCAGATAAGCATATAACATGGGTTCAAATACAACAAAAAATGAAATGCAACTTCTACTGCACAACACCATTTGGACATTAGAGGTCTGATCCGCAGTGGCAGCTGGATACAATGGCAAAATTTGGGAACTCCATGAACCTAGAAGCACAAAATAAAAGTAGTCAGTGGCACTAAAGATACAATTATCTTATATGTAGTTTTTCCCCCTTACGAAAGATACAATTACAGAGCTACATCGTGCATCCTATAATTAGTATCGCCAAACATTATCCTGGATTAGATTAATTTGAATGAAAATCCTATGACTTGGACAAAGCCAATTCAAAGTTGAGATCTGGTAAGCCTTTTTAAATGGACAAACAAACATGAGTTTCATGAAGATGCAGATTAAATTGGGGCCAAAGCATCCTTGAATAAACATGGCAAACAATTATAAGAATGAATATGTTCATGATTTAATTCTTTGGAGTTGTTTCTATTACGAATGAGCAATAACAAATCTGTTTTGACTCCATACGAACAGAAGTCCAACCAATTAACCAATTGGGAAAGAATCAATAGATTCCTTTTCGGGAGCGATTCATCCTTCCCGAACGCATCATACAACTCTCCGTTGTACTGCGCTCTCCAAGTGTGTGCGCTCTCCAAAGTGTGTGCGCTCTCCAAAGCAAGGAGAACCTCTACAACATAGAACCTGCACAAAGACACAGTAAACTTCATATTTGTTTTGCAATTTTGTTAAAGAACTTGTTGTTAAAATGAAATTAATGTTTTAATTTTTATAATTTTATTGAAAATACATCATTTCAAGTGAATTTCATATTTTGAAATTTCCTTTACAAAATGAAAAAAAAGGATTTTACTTAGGTTTAGAACAAAAAAAAAACTTCATTTTGAAAGACTATATATCGTATAATATATAACTATATAGGCCGATCGGGCGAGTCACCGATTAGTCTAGTTCATGTCAATCGAATTACGTGTTTAATCGGATTGCGGATCTATCCAATTTCAATTAATCAGGTTATAGGCTAGCCTAATTACAAGTTAATCAGATTGTGAGTCAATCGAGTTACGTGCAAGTTGCAGGTCGTTCACTTTTAGTTATAAGAATTTGATCCCCTCTATTGCCATGACTTCTATTTTATTACAAGGTAGCGTTAATATAAAAATAAAATTTATTTTATAGTTTGTTTCTATGTTAATAATGTCCCAAAAAAAACTGACAAAATTCAGATCCAATATCTCTTTCTCGGCAATCCTATCAGCATCCTCCGCACCTCAACAATTTATCTCTCTATCTATTTTCATTCGTGGGGATCATTGATATCGTCGCTTTGCATCCTTCTTTCCTAGGTTTACCAACAGCCATTCCAGGCTAGAGTTAGAAATTGTCTCTTACGACAAGGAGATCTAAGTTTCAGAGGTCAGCATCTTTCCTTCATGTGTTTCTTCTTCCTTTTCTAAGATCATTTGATGTGAATTAGTTGATTCGTGTATTGCGTTTTTGTTATCGTCATCGTCATCATCATTTTGTTATTATATAGAAGTGCTGCCCTATTATATTGTCATGCTTTAACTTTGTTTAAGAGTAAGAGAAATTGGTGTTGCAGCCAAGATACTAACATAATTGTGGTTTTATACATTTTTATCCGTAGCGAACCCTTGTTCTATGAGCTTTCCTTATTTTATTTATTGTCTCTAATTTAAAACAATCAACCTAAATTGTCACTTTCATCGTTAGCCTATTCTTCTTCTTATTTTTATTAATAAAAATACTTGTTTTTTTTATTCCTTTCCTCCATTTGAGATTTATTTGTTGATGTTTATGTTGCCTGTGGAATATGTTTCATTGCCATTGTCAATGTGTTGCAGAAAGATTGTCATCTTATAGTTACCATAAGCCCTTGTCTTGTATCATAAATTGAATTTTCATGTATCATAAAAAAATTCGACTTATTGGGGAGTTTCCTTTGAATTGAAAATTAAAATGCTAACTTTTCAATCTACTTGGCAGCAAAACAACATTGATCATGATATTTGGTTTTAGCATGCATTGAAAGTGATGGAGGGGAAAACTTAATGAAAAAAGTTGAAAGAAGATAGTAGAGATGGTAGAGAGCCAATGTGCAGAACCCAGTGGCAACGAGGACCAAATACTGGTCCGCGAATTGTGTGCAAATGGAGCTTGCATGAAAGCAGACGAGGTAGAAGCAAAGCTTGATGCAGGAAATATACAAGAGGCTGAATCTTCTATACGGGAGGGGTTATCTTTAAGTCTTGAGGTTTGCCTCTTTCGACTTCATTTTTTACTATGGTATTATTGGTTTTCTTGTGTGAGTATACCATGAAAGAATTAGTAGTATTGTCTTCTTTCTCATTGCATTGCTACGATCTTGGGGTGCAATTCTTGATTTTTGAACATCAATCTAGAATAATGTTCAACCTACATTCTCCATCTCAGTCTCCTTTCCTTCATGCATGCTAATTTTTATGGATACTCACTCCTTTATATTGCTTGTGGAAAGAATGAGGCATGAGCTCGAGTACTATATATATATATTTGTTTCAAATAACGCCTTATTTTGATTCCTCCTGAAAATATATTTAGTAATAAGGGATTGTTAGCTCAAATTTGTGGGATAAGAGTTGAACATACCCAAATAGCTCAACACATAAGTCATAAAACACTAACATGATTCAAATATTTAAGTCTCAAAAGAAGTACAAACATAAAAATCCACCATTTGGAGCTTGCAATTATAGTAATTCGGTTTTTCGGTCGAAATTTTGATTTGGTTGAAAGAAGACTGGTTTCCGAAATATCCAAATTTCGAACCGAATAGCATTATTTCGCGGTTTCGGTTTGGTTTAAATGACTGTCAGTCATAGTCTCATAATATATATGTCCTCAATTTTTTTTTGTTAGGAAGCTAGAGCACTCATTGGGAGGTTGGAGTATCAGAGAGGGAACATAGAAGGGGCTCTTGGTGTTTATGATGGCATCGATCTCCAAGCTGCCACAGAGAGATTGCAGTCTTTAGCTGACAATAATGCTGCTCGTAAAAACCGACCTCGTGATTCGCCGACTAGTGGCTCGCAACATGCTGCCAGCCTGGTACTTGAAGCAATATACTTGAAGTCCAAGTCCCTACAAAAGCTTGGGCGATCCTATGGTATTATTATTTTCAATGATGGGCGATTACTTACTTACTTGTTGCCTTCACGGCGCGGTTGTACGTGCTCTCTTTTCATCGATTGCTACTTTTTTTTTTCTTTTCCCCCGAAACAGATGCTGCTCAGGAATGTAAGAGTGTGCTTGATGCAACGGAGAAGATATTCCAGCAGGGGATATCCGATGTACAGGTAGATAACAGATTGCAAGACACGGTGAGCCAGGCAGTAGAGCTACTCCCCGAGCTCTGGAAGCAAGCTGGTTACTATCCCGAAGCAATATCTGCCTACAGAAGAGCTCTTCTAAGTCAGTGGAATCTCGATAACGACTGTTGCGCAAGGATTCAGAAAGCATTTGCGGTTTTCCTGCTGCACAGTGGAGTGGAGGCTGCCTCCCCCAGTTTGACATCTCAGGTTGAAGGTTCTTACGTACCCAAAAATAACCTGGAAGAGGCCGTCTTGCTTTTGCTTATCCTTGTTAGGAAATACAGCCTCGGCAAGACGAAATGGGACCCGTCGGTTATGGAGCATCTCAGCTTTGCATTATCCATCTGCAACCAAACTTGTGTCTTGGGGAAGGAGCTTGAAGAGACGCTGCCAGGTGTGCTCCATCGCGTCGAACGTTGGAACACTCTGGCTCTCTGTTACAGTGGGGCAGGACAGAACAGAGTCGCGTTGAACCTACTGAGAAAGTCTCTCCACAAACACGAGAGGCCAGACCACGTAGTGGCGTTGTTGCTGGCTGCCAAAATATGCAGCGAGGATTCTCATCTTGCTGCGGAGGGAGTGGAGTATGCACAGAGAGCAGCCACTGTGAAAGCACAGGGGAGTGGTGCTGATGACGAGCAGAACCTCAAAGGTGTGGCCGTCCATGTGTTGGGACTCTGCTTGGCGAAACAAGCTAAAGCTTCTTCATCTGATTTCGAGCGGTCTCGGTTGCAGGCCGAAGCCTTGAAATCGTTAGAGATTGCAGCCTCTCTGGAGCCCAGCAATCCGGATCTGGTGTTCGACCTGGGTGTTCAACATGCAGAGCAACGCAACCTGAGTGTTGCTCTGCGTTATGCTAAGAAATACATCGACGCGACTGGTGGGTCCATGTCGAAAGGTTGGAGATTGTTGGCTCTCATACTATCTGCTCAGCAGCGATTCTCGGAGGCTGCGGTGGTCACTGATGCTGCTTTGGATGAGACCGCAAAATGGGAGCAAGGACCACTGCTCAGGCTCAAGGCAAAACTCAAAGTTGCACAGTCTCTCCCTTCAGAAGCTATCGAAACCTACAGTTATTTGCTTGCATTGATCCAAGCACAGAGGAAGTCTTTTGGCCCTGTCATAAGTGTTTCTCAGGTAATACCCCAAAAAAAAAAAACAATCTGAGATAATGAAACTGTTATTATGTATAATAAAGTGTTGTTCTATGTCGTACGGTGGCAGGCTGAGGATGACAAGGTGAACGAATACGAAGTCTGGCATGGTCTAGCCGATTTGTATTCCAGGCTTTCTCAGTGGAAAGACGTTGAGGTGTGCCTGGGGAAAGCGAGAGAACTGAAAAAGTACTCTCCGGAGCTGCTTCAAACGGAAGGCATGATGCTGGAAGCACGTGGAGAGTTACAGGCCGCTTTGTGTTCTTACGTATGTGGACACCTGATGGAGCCAACTTATGTCCCTGGAATCATACTGGTTGCGGCCCTGCTATCCAAGAGGGAATCCGAGGCATCGAAACCTGTAGCGAGAAGCATCCTCACCGATGCACTCCGGCTTGAACCCACGAATCGAAAGGCCTGGTACTACTTAGGGATTGTGCATAGGGATGATGGGCGAACAGCTGATGCTGCTGACTGCTTTCAAGCTGCATCCATGCTCGACGAATCTGACCCCATTGAGAGTTTCACTTCTATCTACTGACTGACCACCGTTGCCTGGCTGGTTGGTAGATATACTTAATTATCTCTTCTCCACACACACACTCTCCTCCATGGTTTAGCAATTGTTTTGAGTTATGCAGCTTAACCACTCTCAACTATTCCTCCTTCTTTTTCGTTTAGATGGCTTCATCAATCTACCCAACTATCGACAACTTCTTCACCAGTGTTATCTACCCACTTTTGAAGAGCCCATCACAGTCCTCTGATTCTGAATATGCCCCCTATTTTTGTGTGATTTTTGGAGGTGAAAATGGTTGGGAGAGAGACAGAAACTTTCAAGAGGGCCTAAAGAGTCATATTGAGGAAAAGACCATGTATGTATGATTATGAATAATATGTTTGAAAGTAAAAGTGAATATTGTAGTGGTGGCGAGTCTTTATAATTCTATATTCCTGGTTGAGCTTTCACAAATGTATATTGTGGTTTTTAGCCTAGAAATAGAGCAAGTGAAGAAAGAAAAAAAATTCCATTAAAAGAAAATTTCAGTTACCCAACCAAATGTACATTGTTACTCTCTCACAGCTTTTACTTCTTGTTTTTCTGAAATCTTTTAGCTCCTGTTCTTTCTTCTCATTTTGTTTACATAAAGAATTAAAGATTAATTCAGAACTCATGAAAGGGTTGCTTTAGCTATTACCTAGAATGAGGCGAGCATGCATCAAAACAACTCTTGGGAGGGTTTTAATTATATATTTTTTCTGCATGATTTTACTAGATTTATGTTATTTTCTAATTCGTAACATGTATAGTTTGTATTCATAGCAAACGTCCATTTTTCACTCGGTAAAGTGTAGTTTGTTCAAATTGGTCATCGTGACAAAACCAAGATGCTAACTCTAAAGTGTAGTTTGTACAAATTGATCATTTTACTAGTATCAACTATCGAATTAAAAGGTAAAATTGAAACTTATAAAGGGTGATTAGCATGGTTCCCATGGTGCTAACCCTAATTGTCAACAAGGTAGCTGATACTCAAAAGTAATACATAGGAACAATATTGAAAATATTTTATTTTATTTTTTAGTGATTAGGATGAATAAAATTATCCTTTTCTATAAATGAAAAAAATAAATACAATTTATTAAGAAAACCTTTCAAACGTCAAATAATTCAAAAATGCAAAATATTTCAAAATTCAAAATATTTATAATTTTCTTAAATTTTTGTCCAACCATGCTATCCAACCATGACGATGTTGCTAAATGGTTAATGCTTATATTTTTTTCCGGATTTTAGAATTATTTTTCTGTTTCAAAAGCTGAAAAATGGCCAAACACCTCTAAAAACTTGGCTTTTGAAAAGCAGAAAAGTGTTTCGGTATAGCATAAAAGAAGAATTTTCGATCATAGCTTCTGCGAAAAAATTTGTTGAAAATACAAAATTATCCTTATCATATTTAATTCTATTTTGAAAAATATAATTTATCTTTCATTTCTATCAATTTAAAAATAACATAAATTAGAAAATATTATTATTTAATATAATAAATACCATTTTATTAATTTTTATTTTTAAAAATTTTATTCATATTTTACATTAATTTTTTTTTTAGTAATTTTACATCAACTCTTATACTAAAAGCATTTCTAATATTTTCTTTTATGAATACTTCTAATAGTTTTTCAAACAGTCAACTGCTTATTTTGAAAAGTATTCTTTAAAAGCTCAACCATTGAACTATTTTTCGAAAAGGTACAACGGACCTAATAATTAGGGATGACAATGGGTCGGGTCGGGTGCAGATAATACATATATGTTACCCTATCCAAAGTAGTTCAGGTTTTACCCATACCCACATGAGAAACGGATAGAAAATCAAAACCATGCCTCTACTCGTTCGGGTTTGGGTATCCACGGTTATCATGGATAATAATTTCTATTTATAACTCCAACCAATATATTAACATTCACACTTACTAGCTTGTACCCCGGCCCGTTGGCCGGTTGTAATGTGATGATAACAATAATTAACAAAGTTGAAATTTCAACAATCAACTCTTTTCTTATATTCTTGCCATGATTATATATCAATGTCACACGAATTAACAAACAATGATATCGATTTTCAAAAATAGATAGCAAGGTTGTTTCCTATATTTTACCATTAAGAACGCCAAATTTTTTGTAGATAATGTTGATATAGTATATTATTACAAGAAAATCAAAATATTCAATTGTTGAAAATGAGCATCCATCATAATGACTACTAACATCTGCCTTCTATGTTGATTTTTATTGAAATTCAAAATCCAGGACTTACGCAAGGGTATATTAACTCATATAAACTTATTGACACAATATTATAGGTATTCTAAAGTAACTGCTATCACTCTTTTATCATCAAGAATCTTCATCATCAACTCCACTATCTTCATTCACAATAAAGCTTTTTATTTTTGCATTTTCTGTGAAGCAAATTCTAAACACAAAACATAATCATCTAGTAAAATGAAATTTTCATGATAATTTACATTTTTTTAGACACAAATATTGTTATTAAGCTTTGTAGCCTATTAAGATAATAGGTCCCTAAGCTTAGCCTATCCTTTTTTTTTTCATCATGAATTATCTTCAAAATTGTTAACCCAGGTATGGAATTTGTGATATTGTAATCGCTAAACTTGGACTACAAGAGGGGCAAAAAATGAAAAGCCCAATTGGTATGCCCATAATATGATTATGGGGATAACAATGCAAGTGATATGGCCAATTCATATAGCATAAGCTAATATGTAAAAATGCAGCTAAGAAATCCCATAGTTGGGTTAACAATACGCAGCACACAATTTTAAAAAAAAAATACGCAGCACACAAATCCCCCATATAATAGTTTCCATGGGGAAAAAAACTTTGAATTATAAATTCTACAACTATTTTTGTTGAATTAAATTCTACAAATCTAGTGATCTGCGGGAGCCAAAATATGAAAGCCCAAGTGATATGTGCTATGCATCGAGAATCGGGGAGGAAAAGACTAAAACATCTTTCCTTGCTTTGTAGGGAAAGCAGGGAAAACTAAATTGGGTACCTCCCCAGCAAGAATGTACTTATATACGTGGGAGGATACTCACATAACATAAGAGGAAAAGTACGACAACAATTCACTATAATAAAGAAAATTAATTAAAGAACACAATTTCATGAAAATATTATATTTATATATTAAATATTAAATATGTTAGAAAAAAATAATGATTATTTATAGACAAAATACATACACATGTATATAATCGGACGGGTTCAAGTTGGATAGTGAGAAAACCATGCCACCTATTACTTAGTTCCGGTTTTACCCGTACTCACTAAAAGTCCTTTTGATTCGAGTTTTACCCTAACCGATTAGGTCCATGGGGAAAAAACTTCAAATTATAAATTCTACAACTATTTTTGTGGAATTAAATTCTACAACTCTAGTGGTCTGCGGGAGCCAAAATATGAAAGCCCAAGTGATAGGTGCTATGCATTGAGAATCGGGGAGGAAAAGACTAAAACATCCTTACTTGCTTTGCGGGGAAAGCAGGGAAAACTAAATTGGATACCTCCCCAGCAAGAATGTACTTATATACGTGAGAGGATACTCACATTACATAAGAGGAAGTAAGACAATAATTCACTATAATGAAGAAAATTAATTAAAGAACATAATTTCATGAAAATATTATATTTATATATTAAATATAAAATATGTTAGAAAAAAATAATGATTATTTATAGACAAAATACATACACATGTGTATAATCGGCAAGTTCAAGTTGGATAGTGAGAAAATCATGCCGCCCATTACCTGGTTTTGATTTTACCCGTACCCACTAAAAGTCCTTTTGATTCGAGTTTTACCCTAACCGATTGGGTCGGATTCAGACGGATATATAATAGTTAATAGTTAAGCTAATATTTCAAAAAAAAATATTTCAAAAAAAAACTAATAAATTATATTTAAAAATACTAATGCGACTTCATTTATTAATAAATAAATATATAGTTGATGCTTATAGTGTATATAAGGTTCCGTAGCTAATAAATAGGCCACAAAACATAATAGGTTAAGTGGGCCTCCGCCACAAATATTGGGGTTTTTGCGCTATTAATAATAAAGAATAAAAATATAAACGTGTTCATTGTTCAACCATCTGCAAATCTAGCATTCTTTCTTCACAGACGCGTAATAAGGATGGGAATCTGTGCCGATGCATCCTCAACAGGCTGGCCTACCTCTCCGTAACGCTCCAAGACCCGCATCCTGCATTCTTCCGCTGCCATAAGCCCAGTGGAGAAGGCACCGTGCACCGACCCTGGGAAGCTCAAGCTAGTTGCCTCCCCTGCAAAGAATAATAGGTTATCTACTGCCGCTTGCAGCTTTTCATACAGATCATGCGGCTTCCCCACTAAATCATAGCTGTAGGAACCAAGCGAGTTTATGTCCGATCCCCAATGAGAAACCAGGTGTTGAATCTGCATACAAGTCAAAAAAAATTAGTTACTGTTGGTAGCAATACATTGTTCAAATGGCTCAAGAGAGTTCCAATTCCATGGACAAGTACTGTTGTAGTAGAGAATAAAGAGGGGAGGGGTGGGATACCGGGGTAGAGGCATCAGGAAGGATCCTCTTGAGTTGCAAAAACGCGAAATTAGCAGCAGCTTCATCAGACATTTTCTCAATGTCCCTAGCAAGCTGCCCAGCTGGCATGTACACAAGCACAGGGTGACCAGTAGCCTTGTGAAGGTTTAGAAAGTAGCTGCAGCCATAAGATGTCTCTGCCACAACCCCTAGGAACTCCACATTCGGCCAGAACACCTTGTCGAAGTGCAAGGCAATCTTGTTCTCGATTCCCACTCCAAGGTCATTAATCGCATTCTCCTTCCAATCTGGTAGTTTTGGTTCAAAGGTTAACAACTTCGATTTCAGCACCCCAAGAGGCACAGCAACCACAGCAGCATCTGCCACAAATGTCCTCCCATTTTCTGTTGTGACTTTCACACCATTATGACGTCTTGTGATGTTTCGTACCCTAATAAAACAAACAACAGGAAGAATGAATTCAACCATGCAACCACCAGAACAAATTAGAACAGATTGATAGGGGGGGCTACTGGCTAGGGAACATTATGCCAACAATACATGCATGCCATGCCCGAGGGAGAAAAAGGAAACATAATACTGCAGTAATTACTAGCACACCTATGGCCCAAACGGATGTCAAGCCCCTTGGCAAGAGTGTTTATCACTGGAACATAACCTCTAACCATGAGCCCATGTCCACCGGGGAGCAGTTCTTCCTGCAACAGACCAAATTGTGTTTTTTAACGAGTCGGTGATATCTTATTTCATCAAAAAACAACCAATACTTGCAACATACTCCGCCAGCTAAGTGTTTTCCATGTAAATCAATATTATTATCAATTATTCAAACTATATCTCTCCTATAATTGTATATAGAGCCATACTAGAACCCAGATTCCAAACTATTTGAATTTACAACTCGTTCATTGACCACCCAGAAACAGACCAAATTGTTGCAGTTAGATATCGTAACTATTTCCCAGTGATAGAGGCACAGCTCTGTACAACAATCACCTTTCAGTAGACAATCTAATCTAATATACTCAAGGAAAGCATCTTGTTTGTTTCTGTCTTTTGTAAGTTCATAAAACAAAAAATGCCTAGCATCTTGATGACAGAAAAAGCACCATCCAAGATGAGCAACGGAGGGCCAAGTTTAATGATGCAGAACTTACTTGGTCCCAGCACTGAAGTGAGATGGTCTCTGCATCTGCAGCAAACCAACCTTCCATTCTGCAAAGGTACCACTGAAGAACCTTATGGGACACACCATCCAACCTGCATTAACATGATCATATGAATAGAACAGTTATGTTACTGTCCACTCTACAGGATATACAAGGGGAAAGAAAACATCCCAGTAATAAGTCTAAAGCCAATTTGCTGATACGCTGGAAGAGATCAAACCTTAGGTCTGGTCTTCTTTCGAAAACAATAGAAAAAGCTTGTTGTATAGACATGTCTTCCTTGTGTTCCTCTCTTACTTTGTTAGTCTGCATCCTCGAAGAGACATAACCACCAAGGAGAAAATAAAAAAAAATAAAAATACCAACTTCTATCTTGGAGCAAGTTGGAATAGCACATTTTCTTGTACTCAGGGGCATAATAGCAAACAAAATGCAGGGGAAAGACAACAGTCGGGCAAAGAGAACGCACAACACAAAGGGATGGGCACCCCTGAGGTATTATGGGCTAAATTAAGGCATAATCCATACTTAGGAATTTAAGAAAGAAAGTAGGATATTAGGAAGCAACAGTTCAAAAGATAGTTGAGATATTTCAAATGTTGTAACGCCGCACACAAAGAGTAAGAACCAAATACCTCTTCTAAGATCTTCTCAAATGCTTCCCCTACCCCGGTGACCAATTCTTGGGGAACTTGATTCCCCTCCATGTCGAAGAGTGCATAACTGCATGTGCATTACATGATTGAGTACAGTTACGATACTGCCTTCTTGAACACAAAGTAGAAAGGCTCAACCAACTAAAAACTAAATGAATTAAAGATGCTCTAGTTTATATTCAGCAGAGCATTTTAGAATCAGAAGAACAGTATGTAACAGGCATGAAGGCAACAAAAGAAGAAAAGTTGTTGTACCTTTCCAAATCATGGTCATACAACACGGAATTATCACCGCTAGTCCGATACAATGGCAGCCCCAATCTCCCAATCAGCGGAGCCAAAGGGTTCTCATTGCAGACCCCATGCAACCTGCAGAGTGATCATCAAAATAAAACTCTTATCCCCCAACTCCAGGAAAAGAATGAAATCAGTCCGGAACAAAAATTAGAAATGAACTAGTTAGTATTCACCATGATGCACCCAGGTCAATAGGGAAACCAAATGTGAAGTCGGTGTGAACTCGTCCACCAAGTCTGTCCCGTGATTCCAACACAACAACCTGTACCAAAAAATGTACGAGTGAAGAAGAAAATGACAAACTTAACAAGGGATAAGCACGGTCACTTCACCACCAAACCCTTAAGAAAACAACCTCGGTTCAAGCTAGCTTAGCTCATAGAATTCATGAACAACATGAATAAAATAACTCAAACCAATCTCCCACATCATGTGCATAAGTAGCACGTAATTAGGCCTGTACAGAACTGATCAGTCGAACCCAGTTTTACCTGAAACGAGGCATCATGTAGAGCACGAGCAGCAGCAAGTCCAGACATGCCACCACCAATCACAATAACTGAAGGTGAAGCAGCTCCCTTTCGCTTCACATCATTTGAGTGACAAAGACCTATAAGCCCACCACCATCAACAAAAATAAAATAAAAACGCTGCCAAGATTAGTCATCATTACACCCAAGCCGCGATAAACGAAAAGCCAAGTTCTATTACAAAATCATATTTAAAACCCCCCCAAAATATTTTATACGTCAATCAAAGAGCACTCGTCAGCTGTCCACATAATGCTTCCACCGCCGACACGCACATGTACATACAAAATCTTTGAAAAAGATCTAAACTTTTCCCAACCAGAGAAAGGACTGCGCCGCGACCTAACTTTATAATGAACAGAGCAAAAGACAACCCACACACAAACCTCTGCGCAATTGATTGCGATTACTCTTCGATCCAGACTCCATTTTTCTCCACACGCGATCGACAATCCAAACAACCGGTACTGCTGCTGCTGCTGCTACTGCTACTACGATTGAGCTTAGTACTGGAACTAAAAGGTAACGGCTGTATGGATTTGTTTTCGTATTTGAAGAGGGAAGCGGGCAATTGAGGAGAAAAATGGAGAGTAAAAATCAAGAGGCACGTAATGAAGTGGCCTGAAGAATTGGAAGAGGACAACGATACTATATTACAACCCAGCTTCCCTGACCAGCTCATGCAGAAGTCCTTCTCTCGCCGATCCTACCCTTCGCTTCGTCCCAATTTACCAAACAACCCCCTAAATATCTATATCGCTTCGTCCTTTTCCTTTTGTTTTCCCGCAGCTCTCGATCTCAGGGCAAAAGCGACGGCTGGGAAAAAGGAGAAGATCGGGAGAATTCGAAAAGAAAACAGGAGGCTCGGACGGGAAGCGATCGGAGGGAGATCGAGGGGATAGGAGAGATCTTGGAAGGAAATCCGCCGCGAATTGAATTTTCCCGAGAAAATCCGAGGGACGAAAAGGGCACACGCAAAACGTTTCCGATGGGAAGAGAGAGAGAGAGAGGAGAAGGGTTGTTTGTTGTGGTTGCGTCGGTTTATGGGACGTGTGGTGTGTGAGTAAATAATTCGACGTCTGAGTTGGGGCGGGCCATTGTATTTATAGATGTGATTCGACGCGGATCTATTGCGCGCTTGGTGATATTAACCAGGAACAATCTGCTCGCGATCTGCTGACACGTGGATGGCAATGATATTTTTTCTTCTACCACCATATGGAAAGAATTATATTTATGCTAGGGTTGTTGGGGCTTAGAAATACCAAATAGAAATATTAAAAGTAACTTTTTTATAAGAGTGCTTTCAGGCAATTTGAACCCGTTTCGTGGGTATTACTTGACTTGATTCGTAATGGGATGGATATTATTTGACCCGCAGTAGTGTGAGACGGGCATGGTATTTACTTTCAACCCGTCATGTCCTGCCATGCCCCATCTTTGACCCATTTTATCTCAATTTCTTACCGTATTTATACATATTTCTTCTATTTTGACTTTTTTTGTAAGGGTTATAGGTATAATATGACCATTTACTATGACGTTTTATCAAACATGCCCCTCTACTATTTTTTAAATCAAACATGTCCCTATACTTTGGAAAAATTATTAAACATGTCCTTCTGTGAAAATTTTCATTGAAAAAATCGTCAATCATGGTTGAACCGAGATTTAGACGACCCGACATTGGCAAATGGGAGGGAAAATTTCAGTTTTATCCCCTCTTTTATTTCTCTGGGTCTCGTCAAAGTGAAATTATTATAATTATTTGGTTATACAAAAGAACTAAAAAATTCTAAAGTGAAATTATTAGAGATATTTTTCGCATTTTTGTTGCCCAAACCAAAGTTCGGCTATGGTTAACGGTTTTTGGATGAAAATCCCCTTTTTATGTCCTCATGTCGCCATAAGAAAGTACGGGGGCATATTTGATTTGAAATAGTAGAGGGGCATGTTTGATAATACAACATAGTATACCTAGTTAGAGTCGATCTTTTAACTTGTTAGACTCTATTATCCATTCTATTATCACTATTTTTCATTCATAAAGCGTTTTCCCCTTCATTGTATCGTAAAAAGTAAAATTTCATGTATTTTTTTCAAATAACATATAAGAACCGCCCCATACCCGCGCGAGTTTTACGAGCCGCAGTAGCATGGGGGGCATGGGTATTGAGGTACCCGCCCCGCCCCGCCCCATTTCCATCACTATATTCAACCCAACTGAAGCGGGGAAGTTATAGCATGTCAGAAATAATACACAGTACATAGAGCCAATTAGGGTGTCGGGAATTCATTCTACAATTTTATGAGCAACCTAGTCCACTTCTTTGTTGTAATGATGACTAGTGAGGAGATATGAATCAAATTCGAACTTTGCAGGATCTTGGTGATATAGAAAGGGATGTATAACAACGCCATGGCCAGGATGTAGGATCATTGTGAATATCTTCCACCAAAATCTTACTGTCAGAAAGGATGGCTTTCACAACACCGACTATCACAGTGCATCACGGTGCAATTTAATGCAACCTTCTAAGTTCAATTCGACAAGATTCATCAGTAATTGGATGACTTCAAGCCCACCAGGGATAACCACCATTGTCCTTCGGTGGAGCAACATAGTTCGAGTTCTGATGAAGTCGATGTCGAGTTAAAAGACGATTCGATGAGACCACTGCTTCTTGCGAGTTTCGTGAAGGCAACAGAGTGGTTTCTCTAACACTAGGCACTCTAGAGCAAAAGAAACTCGAAGGGATTGAATCGTCGACCAACTGTCCAAAACCGCAGAAGGAAGATGAAGATTTCTACGAGATGATCACGGTGGAAAAAGAGCAGATGGCTTAACTCTATCCTTTTGACAACTACTGTAATGATGAATTTTCTTGCAGAAGCCCACAAGCTTTGAGGGCAAAGCTTTTCCAACGGGAAGAGACTGATGTGAGCAAGCTAGCCATCAAGAATGTCAATTCCCAAGCATTCAAAATGGTTATTAATTTGCGGAGGAATGGCGAGCTGAAAATGGCTATGTGTGGAAACAGTGTCAAGGTACCTACTTTGGAGGCTTGTATCTTCATCTTAGAAGATAATCGATGGGAATTTGGAGTTGGACATCAAATTATGAGTTCAATTAAAGATCGTGAAGGCGTTGGATGAGATGATGGAAGCTTCTTGGACACCAAACGAGCGGCTTGAAGACTGTATGGTGACCAGGAAGTTTCAATCCTCTCAGCCAATGCCTTCACGATCTTAAATTGAACTCATAATTTGATGTCCAACTCCAAACTCCCATCGATTATCTTCCAAGATGAAGACTGAAGATTGTATGGTGACCAGTTCAAAATCCACAGTCAAGGGAGTTAATTCCATGACCGTGGAACAAAAGGCTAGACCATGGATTGGAACAGAAGAGTTAACTGACCAAGGACATCAATTGCACGACCGTGGAATGGGAAGACACACCGTAAAATAGCGACTAACTGGTTAAAATTACCTTTTGTATTTATAATTCTTTTCTTTTCAGGTTTTTTATTAGATTTTACTTCTTTGGCCTGCATAAAGGCTTAAACTCGAGTTTTAGGTCAGACATTAAAGATATGGAAGAAAATTGAGTTTATTTTGGTTCATTGAGCTTTAGGCTTATGAATTTTTCTATGTATCAATTGAGTTTTCCCCTTGATTGTGGTCGAGATTTTATGCTTATATTGATAGAGCCTTCTCCAAGGTGTGAGATTGCACTTCTATTCCGCCCTATCCCTAGATTTTATTCATGTTCTTCGTTGCGTGAATTTGATAACTATGGGCTCCCGTTCCTTGCTCGTATAAGATAAGCACTGGATGTTGATTCTTTCCCGGATCTGGCAGCTCCCAAATCTTCTCTATTTATGCTTTTCTCAATTTTGGAGTATGTATCGCGAGTAAATATTCCGTAATCGATGAGCTCGTTGATGAGAATATTATAATAGTTTTGACTCCAAATCTTAGCTTTGAAGTGAATAGTTGGGAAGATAGGAGTAGATTCTAGAGCTTTAATGGACACGATCAAGGAGTCTGAGAGTGAATCAATTGAGGGTTCGAAGAGGAAAACCACAAAGGGTTCTAGAGATAAAAAGAGAAACATCATAGCAAAGTTCTTAACGACTACTAGATACTAAGTAGATGATGCGATTTGAATTTAATTTACTACGCACTAATGAATTGGATTTAATTAAATGAATTGAATTTTTTAATAAATGAAGGATTGGCGAATTCACGGGTTGTATTCAAAGATTCTTGGAAAATTATAGTTTAGTGTCTATGTTTTTATTTTTTTCACAATTTCAATACCTAAAATTTAATTTGTTTGCTGAAAATATTACATAAAATTTATATTTTGGTCGATAAATATTTTATTATGACATTTTAGAACCTTAACCCCACCGGGGTCATAGCAAAAGCTAGTCTACATAGGGTAATTGTCACTTCTTGTGGACCCGAACTTGGGTGATCTATTCATGACCAGGATGAAATTTGGGTAAAACTAAGTGGAGGTCTGAACCGACCGATGTTGAAGAGTTAGCATATGAGTTGTGGTTAGGGGTGAAATGCCAATCAAACCCAGAGCTAGCTAGTTCTCCCTGAATGCGTCTAGTAGCGTTCCGTTGTTCTAAGCCATCTCTAGAGATGAATCAAGAACTTGAAGTGCTTTTCTAGAGTATTCTTTTTTTATAAGGGTGATATAGTTTTCATTTTTATGATTAAGGTACTTCTTAAGGGATTCGAACCTGAAACCTCTAAGTTCTAGGCTAGTGGTATTACCACTAGGCCAAACCCTTGTTCGTCTTTTCTAGAGTATTCTTAATAAACCAGCGTTGATATATAGATGTAATTCTTAACTGCAGGGGGCACCAAAGGCCTCTGCCCTTCCGTCCATTTGATTGATAGAGAGGAAGGATAGAGTTTTTGGTCCTTTCACGTTGTGAAAGAATTGAACAATTAAAATAAATGGTGAGTACATGATCGAATTGATTGTTTCATGTAAGAACAAGGTTATCGGTCTGTTAGGATGCCTAAGCTGCATACATAATCGATCGGGTTCGAGTTGGATAGTGCGAAAACCATGTCCACCCATTACCCATAATATTCGAGTTCTGGTTTTACCCGTACCCACTGGAAATCTTTTGGATTCGGATTTTATCTTAATCAATTATGTATGATTTGGCGCGGATATCCATGGTTTCGAATATTTTTGTCATCCCTACGACATTTGCTCTTAACCTAGGGATTTGCTCTATTACCCGGACGGAGTTGAGATGCATAGTAAAAGGACTTGAACTGGCTTGAGACATGGGTTATAGACGTGTCCGTACGGAGCTCGACTCCAAATGTGTCGTTCAAATCATCTTGTAACACCCCGAATTTTGGGATTATAGTTCGACCATAATACGTGA